CCACAGGTTGTATTTGCTAGCTGCTTTCTCTGGGTTAAGGCCTGAAGACTTGTGCCCAGCCAGTGCTTTCTGTACATGGCACAATGGAAACTGCCCCTGGAGTAGTAATCTGTGTCTTTTTGCTCTGTGCTGGATTGTGGGTCTAGACATGGAGATATGTCTGAGTGACATGGAGCCCTACTGTAAGGAGTTGTGGGCCAGACACTAACTGTGGGGCCGGAGCATCTCTGCTTTCTCCTCAGGCTGCAGATCCTTCTGACAGAGTGTTGGCAGCAGCACCTAGTTGGTCATGGAGTGAGTTGGGGAACTGCACAGGCGTCTGGGAACGCTGGTGTTAAGCAGAAGTGACAGGCAGACATGGATCCGTGTCAGGGATGTTTTGCTCTGTTGTGCTGCCTGGTGTAGCAGGGCAGCAGGAGTGTATTTGCAGAGGGAGAAGTGCTTTCAGGCAGGCACTGATCTGAGGCTTTGAAGTGTTCAGAGGCTGCAGCAGCAGGTAGTTCTCCAGGGACACAGCTGGGGGCCTTGCAGGTGGCTTTACAACAGCCTCGTGCATGGTACGTAATAGCTGAGCCTTTCCTGCTCATGCTGAGCAGTATATTAGTTGTGGGGTAGAATTCCCTGAGGGCTGGAATTGCTTTATTGGTCCCAAGCAATTTTCTGTTTTGATGGGCCTTTTTGGAATCAAAACATATTCTTGACAGATGATTTAATAAATTGATACAGTTCAAATTGATTATGTTTTTCCTTTTGGGAAGCCTGTGTTCTTCAGAAGTACGGGAAAAGAATGCAGTCCTTGATTGTGTTCTTTTATTATCAGGAGGTGTGTGTGTTGCATACACCTTGTGGCAGTATTATAAAAACACTGTATTTACAGTGTAAGATGTATAGAATAGCCTTGGGGAACAGAAAAAAATTCCTACCTGAGTCTTAGAAGTCTCCTCTGCAGCACCAGTAGCGTGTTAGAGCTCTGCCTCCCTTGCTGTGAGTTACACCTTTTTAGTGGTTTGGGATTTCCTTTTGCTTTTTGGCTTTAAGTGGATAAATGCAAAGGGAAGACTGAGACATGGAGTAAGAGTATGATCCCTCTCCTGTCATTCTCAGTGGTGAAATCCTTTTAAAACATACAGGCACCTACCTTGGCCACCTGAAACGATCCTAACTGTAAAAGAATCCAAATGGTCTTGGTGTATCTCCTGAAGTGATGATGCTAACTAGGCTGCTGTGCTCATCCTTGCTTGCACAATCATCTAACACTTAGACATCAGAGATAAAAGGTGTCTTTTTAACGATGATGGTGATGCACATTTGGGATGTGTTTATTTAGCTCTGTGCTTGGGAGTTGTGTGTTTTTCATATTCACTGTTACTCACGTGGCTTTTGGTAGTATGGGCTCTCTTAACATCTCATTAATTTTCCATCTGCTGTGGAACTCATTCTTCCCATGAGGTATATAATGTTATCTTACAGAAGCTTTATATCTTCTAAATCCCAGTGATTCAGAGTTCACTTATGATTTTTTTTGTCTTCTAAATCCCAGTGATTCAGAGTTCCCTTATGATTTTTTTTTTATTTTACCAAAACTGAGTTTAACTCTTGTCTCGGTCTTAGTCTTGGTGATCCTAGTCCAGTTTGGGTCTGAGGTTAGTATTCAGAAAACTGTTGACGAATTTAGTCATTTTGGATACTTAATGCAAGAGGGTGAAAAGTGTCTGGAATAACTCAGTTAGGTTCCTGTGCTTTTACACACACACACACACACACACACACACACACACACATATCTATATATCTATATATGTATCTAAACATGTGTACAGAAGAGCTGTTTTGAATCCTGGATTTGTTTTGACCACAGTAAACGGTTCTTTTCGTGTAATCCAAGAATGGTTCTTCCTGCATTTAGATGTAAAAATCAGATCATTAATCACCGAAGTAGCTGTAATTGCTGGTGAATTTTTGCTTTCAGTGAGGTCCCTCCTCTGGATTAGGTATGAAAATATGGAAGGGATGCTTAAAAGGCAAATAACATCCTTCATTTTCCTCCTGCACTTTTATTGGTGCACTCAGAGTGGGTGGATTGCTTGTTAATGGAAGCAGCTTTCGGAAATTCAGTGACCTGGGCTTGGCACTTGCAGGCAGTGCTATTTTGCCATTAACTTTGATGGAAGCAGAGTTGAAAGTCTTGTCTGAGATTTCAAAAGTAGTTAAATTCAACCCTGTTATGGGCTGGAAATTTTACTATCATTTGTCTGGCTCCTTCCATTTCTTACACTTTTGTGTCTAAGCACTGGTGGTGGTTTGAATCTGTGAATTCAAGGCTTAAAGTTGGGCTTTGTTTATTCAGTGAGTAAATGTTTTCCCTGTTGAAGTGAAGCCATTGCCAAAGGTCATCTGTTAGCTGCAGTGGGTAGTAAAATCTCAGTCCCATGAGAAATTCTTCTACAAATTTTCTCCTGGTATTATGTACACTCAGTGTACACTGCTCAGAAAAATACAACAGTCTCTTCAGTAACTTACTGAAAATATTGTGTGTTTGCGCTGTGCGTTCACCAGTTTTATGTGCAGGGAGGCAGCTATTACAGAACTATGTAAGAAACTATTTCTTCCCTTATTCAGTGTAGGAAGTTAGTTGGCGTGGAAAAATACTGATTATAATAAATCCTGAGGAAGGCTATGTTTGGGTTGTCCCTCACACATGGAAATTGTGCGTAGTGTGCTTTTGGACAGCACTTTAAGAAGTCATTCAAAAGGAGGATCCTGTGGTTTTGGTGCTAAGAGTTGGCCTTTCACGTCACATGGAATCGTGAATTAATCCAGTGGCCTGAGCCATGTGTACATGGAATGTCTGGAATAGAAGTATGCCCTTAAAACACTTGTTCTGATGTGCAAGATGACACAGTAAAGAAATGGAGATGGAAGATATGGTAGGGATTGTTTTAGTCCTCACCTTTATAGCTTCTCTGTGACATGAGAGAGACCTGGAAATCCATCTTTTAATACCCATATTAAAAAGAAAGCAGCCCATATGCTTTATTAATTCAATTTATGGTAAGCTGTCATCAGAGCTGAATTAAAGGGCACTGGTAAAGACCCAGAAGTACATCATGCTGCCACTACCCTAATTTTGCCAGATGCTTCCTTTCCTTGGGAACAACTGCACTAAAGCCTCCAGACTCACCAACTCTTCTCCCACAGAAACTTCAGAATCAAACACCCCCTTGCCAATACAGCTTGTTTTTAATTCTTGTATGCGGGCTCCCTCTCCCAGGTCCAACAGGGTACTGAGATCCACAAAGGAATTGGAAATTTCCAAATGCCTGACTTGCTGGTGCAGTGGCTTAACTCGCTGAGCATCTCAGTGGCAGATAGTTGGTCAGATATTAATGTTGTGCCAATGGAAAATATCAGAACCCAAGAGAACTGAATAATAATCTGTGTGGGTATGTATGTGCTCTGTGTCTTCTAGTGAGGCTGTTGATTAAAGAAATCACATCTGTCTGAATGTTAAAGTGTTAATATTTACATTGCAGGAAACAATCTGTTTCTGTCACACATTTCAGCTGTACATCTGACACTTTTTTGAGGGATTTCACTTTCTCCCCCCTGACTTCAGGTGGAGTTTGGGTCTGAGCTGATAGGATCCTCACACAAGGAGTTCATACTCCTGCTTGTGTTTTTTCTTAGTTTCAAAGAACATTTAAATGGAATGATAGTGAATGATCTTGGAAGTCTGGCTTTCCTCAGAGTTACTAAAAGGCAGTCAGCCCCTTTTTACCTTTCTTTTTCTCCCCCCCCCCCCCTTTGTAGAAACAGAAAATTGCAATTGTGAAATAGAGGAGAAAAGTGCTGATAACTTCACCATCTTTGATAATAAAACACTAGCATTTACCTAAAATAATCTTTTCTGTATTCTTACCTCAGAAGATAAGGTTTTAGCTGTTCGCTGCAAACCTTGCTTTAATTTTGACCATTCTGCATGTTCTGTGTAATGTCTGTTACTCATTGCTGTGTTCCAGGGAGTTTTTATTGGGGCAGATTCCTTAATATATTACTAACTGAAGAGAGAAGGCAAAAGCATAACTAAAACATAACAAATTCTTCTGATGACTTATTATTCAGTCATATCTTTCCAATGAAAGTCTTGGACAGTTACTTCACTTTTAAAATTGTTTTTTGTTTTTAATAGGGAACTTATCCCATCCTGTGCAATCTGTTTTTGAGCAGTGCTCTCTGATCCCTGAGGGGTTTCTGCTGGCTGATGTGTGGCAGTGCTGCTCTTATGGACTGTAGCCTTGCCCTTTTTGCTCCTACCATGGATGTGCCCAGGCAGTGAAGGAACCAACAGTGTGGGAAGGCTTTTGCATCAGTTTGGTTCTGTTTGTCTACAACTAATGCACAGATTTGCAAAATCTGTGTTCATCCTTCAGAGCTTAACACATAGGTCTTAGCTTCCCTATCATACAGACCTGTTACAAGTCCTTCATCTCTCCAACCCAGGAGGATTTATTGGCTTTTTTTTCCATTACTGCTGTGTAGTTGGCGCTGGAAAATACCTGTAAATCTTATTGCGTTGAAATTAGTTGATTTGCAGAGGTATAATGTATTCTGGTGTCAAAGCACTGCCTTGTCAATGGAGTGCAGATTCTTTCTCTCTTTCCTTTTCTCCTGTTACAATATTTCTGAAAGCTGACAGAGTCTCTGTCAAAAGGTTTCAAGGCAAAAAGGTATAATTTGTTTGGAATGTAGTGCATAATTATGCAGACAAAAATCGTACAAGCACGCTGGGAGATTTGCTGAGGAGGAGACAGCAGCTTGTTCTGTGGGCTCTGCTGTGTGTGTGGCAGTGTGCTTCACGTGGAAAAGGCTGGCAGAAATCAGGGAACCAGTACACATCAGTACATTAAGTTCAGAGAGTACATCTCAGGCTATTGGCAGAGATCCTGGTCAGTTATTAATCTGCAGAAGGTGTTTTATTGATGCTCAGGGGGGAGGATGCTATGAGGTGGCTTTCTTCAGAGGCAGGTAAGTGCAGTGCAGCCAAAACATGCACACCTCAGTTAGGAAATGGGAAACAAAGCAGAACTGGGAGAGGGGTCACAAGTTGATGACTGAGTAACTTCTGTTTTCTGGTTCATTTTGGAAGAGTCTCCTGGAGGTTTGTCATAGAAGCATGCAAATGATTGTTTCTGTGTCCTAGGTCTGTCCACCTGGTCCCAGCATTCCAGATCTCGACATCACAGGACTTCATGTTCCAGAGATGAAGATCGGAAACCTTCTGAGGTATTTCTGGAATTCGATTTGCATTTTGTTACACCTGCCAAAGTACATATGCATACAATGTGTACGTACATGTTCTGGTAATGGATTTATTCCTTCCAATTTACATTTTCTTTTTGCTACATTTTGGCTGGCACATGCTCCATCTCCTCCCCCCCCCCCCAGAAGATAAGAGTTGAGCTGTTGGCACTGCTACTGCCAGCACCAGTTTCTGTCTGTGAATCTTTTTGTAGTCTGACACCCGCTCAGCATAGCTGCAGAGCCTTTCTTGTAGTATTTTAGGCATCAGGGTTTATTTGTAGCTTGATTTGTGAACAGTGCAAATTTACATTAGGTGCATTTATTTGATAGTTAGTGTTGGGTCTTGGTATGTGATCTTTGTTAAAGTGCTTGTCAAACCAGAAATCTGCTTCCTGACACTTCTGTCTCACACAGTGCTTTGAAGAAATCCTATCAAGGGAGAGATAAATCTTTGAACTTTCCAGGATGGATCAGCTGTTAGTAACACACAAATGTGATCCTGTTCTTTGGAAATGTTCTTGCTGAATCCCCCTGTCTTCAGGCAAATACCACACTGCAGACTCTGTAGAAACTGCAAAGAAAGGGTTAGCTCTGGGAGGTGGAATCCCTCAATTAACATACTTGCCCAACACAAGTATTTCTTAGGCACTAGTGAGTGATGTTGAGGAAACCTGCTTTGTTAATCTCCCTAATGACAGTGTATGCCTAAACCTCGGAGAAGACTTTTCACAAGGAGATCACATTCATTGTTCCGTGTGAACTGCACCTAGTACTGGTGGTTTCCAAACTTTTTTTGATTGCTGGCTGTCAAAGAGCTTTTTTTTGGTGAATGTGAAGATCTCTGGTGCATTTATTCTTGCTGGTGATAGCCTTGTTTTCCTTAGTTATCTTTTGTGCATCCCTTAGAAGTAGCCCCTTATACCTGGTTTTGACAACTACCTCTTGAAAGGTCATCAAGAAATAATCTGAGATAATTACCAGTCTCTCTGTTGTTTTTTGGCTGCTTCTGTTTTCTTCTATCTCTCACCTTGCTTTTGTTGTCAGAGTCTTTGCAGTTTGTGCTATACTCATGTTTTCTCAGCCTGGATGAACTTCTCTTGTATTTCCTTTTAGCTCTGCTCCACAGCCTGTCCCCACTCCCTCCCTCCACGTGCATTGTCCCTGCTCCCCACAGCACACTAACTGTGATGAGAAGCGCTGGCAGAAAAGTGACACTTGCTAAACTCCCCGGGTGAAATCCTGGACTCATTGAAGTTGGTGGCAGAATTCCCATTGACTCGAGCATGGCCAGGGTTTCACCCTTTAGCTTTGAAGTGTTCAGTGCTCGTGAGAGCCAGCACTTCTGTAAGCTCTGCCTTGCTCCGGGCACTCCGATTGCATCAGAAATTAGAGCAGAAAGAATGGTGTCACAGGGCCACTGGCCTGGGAAGGAGTTTCTTGGCTGCCAGGTGCTGCATTAGCTTTGCTTCTGAGGGAGTTTTGTGACAAATTTATCCAAGAGCCTGAGTTATTTTGGCTCTGAGATTGAGCAAGGTTTGTGTCCCATTTTATATTTTTAGTCTTCTTTTCATTTGACTTTTGATTGCTTTAGTTCCAATCACTTAAAAGCACAGAATCCCCTGGCCAGCTGTGCTTGTTTGTTTGGTGAGCCCCTTTACTTTGTGGCTTACTTCTCATTTCTTGATTGAAGCCTCACAGGACTTGGATTGTTTAAAGCGTTTCATTATATTTCGTTACCTGCATTCACCATCTTCTTCATATGGTAATATTATTCTTTACTTTTTAATGTTGGCAGTTTTTCTGAACATGTCAAGACAAGTGTTAAGAAAAATGTCATGATTTTATGCTATTTTTATGACAAAACCAGAGTGGAAACAGAAACATACTGAGACAGAAGTGGGATAGTATGTGTGTGTTGGGAAGGAGGAGAGGTTTCAAGATGTGCAGTGTGGTAAGGCAAATCACACTTGGAAATGTTCTCGGAAGTATAATTAGCTATCAGATACTCTGTTTCCCTGAAATCCTTCCCAAAAATCCTAGGGAATCTGTCGCACTTTCAGGTGTGTGAATAGTGCATGACAGAACTGGCTGTCCTGGGGAGGCCCTGCCTAGTTCTCTCTCTGGATAGGTCTGGTTGTCCCTCAGCCATATCCAGTGGGCTGGAGCTGAGGTAACCAGTGTGGCCGTTGGTTTGGGGCAGGGAGGATGGGTCACTGTCCCCTTAGCAGCCCAGTGAGGGAATCTGGGAGCACTGCCCTGATAATCCATCCTTCCCTCTGCAGCTGCAGCGTGGGGCTGGGTGGGTGTTGACTCTGACCACCATGAACTGAGAAGTCTGCAGGAAGCTCTTCTAAAGATGTCACCTGCCTTCTTCTTGTCCCGGTGGTGCTGATTTCCTGTGGCCTGCTTGCTTTTTAACCCTTTCCTTTGAGCGTGGCGTTGGGCAGTTACAGACTGCTGGCTGTGGAGGCGAGGGGTGCAGTGCTGCCGCCTGCAGCAGCTTTGCCTTTCGGGGAGGGCAGGGTGGGAAGGGCTGGAATCACAGCGGCAAGTGCAGGCTTGTGGCTCTGCTGCCTGTGACAGCAGCACCCTTGGCTTTGTGCGGCGCTGATAGGCTGTGGCCAGCCAGGCTGAAGCTGCCACAGCAGTGCCACAGCATGCCTGCTCCAGGAGTGAATCCCTTTTGATTTCAGCCCTTTGGATTTCGTTCTGTGGCCTGTTGAAGACAGCTTGGCTGCTTGTTCATGGCTGCTAGCCCGAAAGTTGCCAAACATCCTGCTCGCTTTAGAGCCGGACACCTTTGCAAAGGCAAAGTAAAATTAAAGCTATGACAGAGGTGTCTGTAGCTGATCAAAACCCAAGCACCTGTGCTAAACAGGGAGCTGCCACTGGAATTTCAGTTTGGGTCTTACTTTATTTGGTCTTTTGGGTTGTTTTTTTAAATACTTGCACAAAGAGTCATCTGCTTAGAATTTCCTCTCGTGGCTGGTCATGATGCAGTCACGCCTTGATTTCTACCACAGGGAATTTCTAGAATGTCTCTGCATTAGTCAGAGCTCCAATAATTAAAATAAAAAAGTATCCAAAAAAACCTTGGAGAAAAAATGAATCTTGCTTGTGCTGCCGTTTTAAAACTCAGAGCTCCTGCAGCTTCTGTTGCAGCCCAAACAGAGGGAAATGTGGGTAACCCCTTTTAGCATTATGTCTCCAGTGCAGGGGGAGTGCCAGGACCTGTAGTGGAGTTAGCTGGAAGTCCTCCTGTCAGTATTTGTGCCTTCAGCCACCCCTTTCCCTGCCGTGAAGCTAAACTCCTGTCCTGCAGTGGGCTGGGTTAGTGCACTGTTGGTACAGTGACCTTGTTGCAGGCTGTGCTCCATGGTTACCCTGAAGCTGTGAATCATAGAGTGTAAATATCAAATGTCAGTGTCTCTATTTTTCTCTCTTGGTCACTCTCTTTGCAGGTGTTCAGAACGGACCTGATCACTGCCATGAAGTTACATGACTCCTTCCAGCTGAACCCTGATGAATACTATGTGCTGGCAGATCCCTGGAGGCAGGAGTGGGAAAAGGGAGTTCAGGTGCCAGTTAGCCCAGGGACCATCCCAGAACCAGTAGCCAGGTATAGTTTGGAGGAATGTGAACAAATACACACACTTTTATGCTAGCAGCTTATGTCTACATTGCTTGGCTTCCTGAGCTTTATTCCACAGTGCCTGGCTAGGAAGGTCGTGGTTCTCGGAGACGAGGAGCAACCTGCCTCAGCTTTGTGAATGGTCAGAGAGGTCAGGAGTCAGGCCTGTGCTGCCTATGTGAAATATGAATGTCAGAGGACCAATTTTGGCATTACATTAGCATTCAGTGTGATGACAGAACCTTAAAAATAGCTTCTATTTTTAAGCCCAGACTTGAGCTCACTCAGCATTGCTGGAAGAGCCCTTGTCTGGTGCTTTCTGTGCTTTGTTCCAAGCCCTAGGTTCCTTTCAAGGAACAGTTAGGCAAACCAGGCTTAAGGGCTAGAGAAAATACTGAATTTATTTTGGTTTCACTTTTTTTTGTGATTTCATTTACTAACCTAGGAAATTGTTTGTTGTACAGCATTTCATCTAAGAACCATCCAGATGTGCATGTAACCAAATAATGTGAGATTTTCTAGCTTGTATCCAAGAAAGCCTTATTTTCTTACCTCGTTTGTTACACTTAGATACAGTTTCCTGTTTCAAATTACAAATTAAACAGTGCAGCTGTAAGGGCAGGAGCATGCTGCAGCCCTTCTAGCTATTCTGTGCTTAGTTGGGATTGGAGAAGGTGAGAAGAACAAGGATTATTGCTATTTGAATTGTTCTGGATCTCTTTGAGGCAGTCCAGGCTGGCCCATAAGGCATTACCCAATGACCCAGCAGTGCTGGTGGGACCAGAACAGCCCAATCTCTGGTATAGAGCAAAGTAATCTGACTGATGCCTCACTGCTTCTATTGGGACTGTGTCTGTCAGCTTTCACTGGGATTTGGGTGCTACGGGAATGTTTGTTAGTGCTGTTTGTGTGCCAGACTGCTGCACAGCCACACTAGGTCTGTACAATGAGCAACTTACCCACACGTCAGGTAAACTCTGTCCTGCCTTATTGTGAAGGATTGGACCTGGAACTCCAAGGAGAACCCAGAATTTTTCCCTCTGCTCTGCAGTTTAAAATGTGGGAGCATAGCATTTCCCTACTGCACACTGAGGTCACCCAGTCCTTACACAGATGCACACAGGTGGTACTTGTGTGCTCACGTTACTTGCTCCTCACTGATTCCTCTTTCAGGCATCTCCCAAGACTGCAGAAGGGCTGAGAGACTTGTGGACTTGAGCAGAGGGAAACCTTCCAGGGGATCCATACCCTGTATCTGTCAGGGAGGTGGTTGATGGCTATTTCACCTTCAGGTACTCCCTTAAGAGAGAGCTTTTCTCTGCCAAAGGCAAACAGATGTTG